GTTCCAAGTTAGCCCTGAGAGCTTCAGAGTATGACAACTCTGAAGGCCCAGAGGAAATAAAGGAAGAAAGGAAAACCCTGAGTGGGAAGGGAGGGAAGGACCAAGGAGGGGCAGCTGGTAGTAGGAAGGGGGGTGGGAGGATAGGATGGGTATAAAGACCAATTACTTGCTAAAACAGCACTTATCGAGAGCATGTCCTATATGCCAGACATACTGACTCATTTAACCCTTGTAATGCTTTTGTTGTCGCCATTTCCAGATGGGAAGGTTTAGAACCAGAGAAGTTAAGCAACTTGCCTAGAATCACACAGCTAGTAAGTGGCACAGTCAACTTCTCAACTTGGAGAATCTGGCTGTACAGCCCAAAACCTCCTCCTGCACTTACAAGAGTGTACCCCACAGAATACACTGACTTCTCTGGGTGCAGTAAAAAAATAAAAACATGTGGTCAAAGGCAAATGTGGAAAATGGCAAGTTAAATGGGCTTTTTTACTAAAAGACTTGTTAGAGCTTTTGAATTGCTAATGACGCGCTGTGAATCTCCAAGGGAGGAATAGAGCAGAGTATGTCCCACACTTACTTGACAGATTGGGGTGTGTGTGTGGGGGGGGGGGGGGGGGGATGCGTGGGGAGGTTAAGAAAAAGCCTCTTTCAAGGAGCAAAAGCCTTGTGTCTGCGCAACACCCACTTCCACTGCACCGGCCGCCACCCCCTCAGACAGTGCTGCAGGCTTCTGTCGCTGTGGATCTCACAAAGCAAAGTCCTCACCTGAGTTAATTGCCTCCTTCATTTCCCAACTCCTGTCTGTTCCTTCTGTGAGATTCTGCATGAAATCATTACAAGCAAAACGGCTATCCGACTCTACCCAAATCTCAGAGAGAATTCTTCTTCGAGAAGCCTGAGCGGATGGCTATTGCCAGCCACTGACAGGAGCAGGGATGATCTGCGCAAAGATAATAACTTAAAGACACTCTCAGCCTCTGGACAGAGCCTGGCAGCGGAGATACTTTTCTGCTGACTGCCTTGGAGTCAATGACAGGACAAGTGCTCATTCTATGAAGCCCTGCTGTTCAGAGTTCAGTAAACATCCTGAAGCAGAGAACGCAAGTTCAGGTAATCATTTCTTTTCTATTAAACGTACCGGGGTGACACTGATTTACAAAATTATAGGGGTTTCAAGTGTACAATTACATGACACATCATCTGCATATTCCACCAGCAAGTCAAATCCTCTGGAATACCATTACAATGAGTGCCCTGACTATTTATACCAACACCTCAGGCAATCAGGAGCTTCATGGGCATTTCACAGGACAGTCTGAGCAGTGAGTGGTAAGTCAGACCACCTTGGAACAAACGATATTTCGAGGTAATGAATGATGCAGTGGAGAAGTTTCCTCAGAGTCCTGTAGGAGGGACATCACTTAGCAGGCATGTCTTGAGTCCCTATTCACAGTGGTTGAGTCATCAGACTAAGTCCTCCAAAATACTGCCCTCGTCATGTCACTCCTCTGCTCACAAACATGCTGTGGCTCCCCAGTGCCAGTAAAACAAAGTGCAGACTTCATGACTGGTACGCTCATCACAACCTGCCTCAACCCCACCTTTCTGACTACGTTCCACCAGAATTCCTCACGCAGTCTCCCTTCCCCTTTCCTTCCCTTTCATTTTAAGCCTACTCCTCAGTCACTCCGTCGTAAGACCCCTTCCACTACCATCCCTGCCCACATTTATCCTCTAAAACGCTTTCCAACAAGCTCCACTTCTACACACTGGAAGTTCTCCCCAACCCCGAAGCCACCTTAACCACGTTTGGTTCTTTTTTAGCTTAGGAGGGGCACGGAGTTCAGCCGAACTCCTGTTTTCTGGAAGATGAAATGCTCCGCATCTTCCATGCCTGTGGTTTATATTTCAGCAAGGGGTGTCAGCGCTGATCTAGTAACCTCCCATTTTTATTGAGCAGCGTGCAATGTAATTGATGACAACCGCTGGGGCTGATATTTTAAGCGAAGGCTATTCTCAGATCCGCCTCCTCTCCCCACAGCTCTGTGTATAAATAGCCAACACAGCTATACCTGAGGTCCAAAGTGGGGCTTTTTGGCTGCAGTCCTCAATTATTCCCCATAAAGTCATGAGGTTTTCCAGGAGGATTTATAGAAGCAGATCTGGCTCTCAGGCCCACGAAGCTGAAAAAGCTGGAGCAGGGGGCAGGGCTCAGATGAAAATAGTTGCCATCATTCTTTGGTTTTGTTTGTTTATATTATTTTTATTTTTTGCTGCTGTTAAACAGATTGAAAGACCATGTTCTTTCTGGTGCTCGGTCTCTGTGTTCACCCCCAAGTCAAGGGAAGGGATCATTTCTATCCCCAAGGGGCAAGTGAGACCCCTTTTCACTTATTACTTTTCCAATGTGTATCAGTAGCAGTAAGAATATGTTCCCTGGGCAAAGTTTTTGAATTTGTCTGCGGCCTTGGGAAGTGTAAATCTGGCAGTGACTTAGGCAATACTCATCCTTCCAGGACAAGAACACATTTCTGGTCCTGGGCTGGAAAGAACCAGCGCACTGCGTGTGCTGTCCGCGGAGGGAGCTACAGAAGCACAGTCCTGGCAGGGATGTTGACAGAGGGGCGTGGTCATCAGACAGATCACATGCTGCTCGCTCTGCATCTGAGTGTGATACCAAATGGAAGGTACATCCTTTCAAAGGGGCCTGTTTAGAAATTTTGGCCATTTTTAATGGAAAATTTCTAAATTACAAATACTTTCAAGTGCTCTAATGTGTGATGTTTCAGTCATTACTAAAAGTGAAAGGAGTGAGGCCATTGGAGGTTACTAAGATATGGATAAGCCAAAACAGCTCCTCCAAAGTAAGCCTTCCTTGGTACCCCCTCCCTACACACACACACACACACACACACACACACACACACACACAATCCCTCACCTAATGACCCAATGCTCTCCCACACCCACCTACATCCCAGCCATTAACAACAGCCTATCCGGGCGTGGTGTTTATGTGCCCAGTAATACTTCAACCAATGTTTAAGAATGAATAAATGTGTATATCTATATAATAAAAGCCTAAATGACCGTTAGAGTGGAATGACCAGAATAACCAGTCGCTATGATGCACACTGACCACCAGGGGGCGTAGGCTAAATGCAGGAGCAGCCCCCTGCTGGTCAGTGCACTCCACAGGGGGAGTGCCATTAAGCCAGAAGTCGGGCTCACTACTGACAAGTGCAGAGGTGGTGGCAGGAGTCTTTCCCGCCACCATGGCAGTGCTAAGAAGCAGCAAGCCAAGTGTTAAGGAGCAGCGAGGGGTAGGTGGTAAGGAGCAAGGGGTTCTGGACTGCAGGAGAGTGCAGGCCAGGCTGAGGGACCCCTCTCCCCAGTGCATGAATGTCGTGCGCCAGGCCTCTAATATCTTAATAATAAAAGGCTAATACGCAAATGTCATCACACCACGACGCCATGACACTGGCACAGGGGACCTGAGACCACGTCCCCCGACCCAGATGCCAGATATGAGGCTGTATCCCCTGCCAGGTAGGGCTTGACAGGGTGGGGCCGGCTGGGTCATGGCGTTGCCCAGTTGGGGAGGGGGGAGGGGCTGGCCAGACACTTCTATTATAAAGAAAGGGCAAATATTTCCTCTAGCTCAGTGGACAGAGCGTTGGTCTGCGGACTGAAAGGTCCTGGGTTCGATTCTGGTCAAGGACACATATCTTTGTTGCAGGCACATCCCTAGTGGGGGATGTGAAAGAGGCTGGTCGATGTTTCTCTCTCATTGACATTTCTAACTCTTTATCCCTCTCAATTCCTCTCTGTGTAAAATCAATAAAATATATTTTTTTTAAAATTATTTCCTCTAATTCCCTTTAATGTGCACAAATTTCACACACCAGGCCACGTGTGTGTGTGTGTGTGTGTGTCCACTAGTGTGTGTGTGTGTGTATATATATGTATACACACACACACATATATATACACACACATATATATATGAATATATGAATAAATAAAATGTGGCCCTACCTTCGTGAACTCACAAGCTAAAATACATATACAGACATTTTAATAACAATTTTGCTTATAAGAAAACCAGAGCCGAGAAAGAGAGAGAGAGAAAGAGAGACAGAGAGGAAGAAGAAAAAGAAGAAGAAAGATCAAAATGACAAAAGTGAAGGCAGCATCTTCTACCCTGTTACATGCCAATGCCTTCCTTTAATTGTGTCATGTTGACAATCATGATGACATCAAATACTCAAACTACAATACTGAAACTCATCTTCCAAGTTTCAGCTTCAACAGTATGTATGTACTTAAAGAATAACCTACCACCATTTTCAGCAAGCAGGGTCTGTGCCAGCAGCAGCCACGCTGGAGGACAGGAACAGGTAGGTGATTCACCGTGGTCCTCATTATGTCTTAACCCCCAGGAGGACTCGGGGTGGTTACAATGCCATCAGGAGATTGCCTCTCTGGTGTGAGTGGGAGAGCCCTCTGAGGACCAGGCTTAACCCCAAATGGTCGGTGAGCCAACTCAGACACAGGCTTCTATTTAGAAACTATGGATATGATGAAGCTTTTTAACAAATAAAAATACTAGTGTATTGAAAGCCTTTCAGGATTAGTCTGTTTCTTAAAAGGTTTCATTTTTATGACTCCTGTGAATTAGCAGCGTCTCAGGCACAGTCTCTCCCATGAACGAAATCCCTGGGTTCAGACCAACAACGTACCATTAGTCTGATACCCATTTTACAATTTTTTTTTTTTAAACAAAAGCAACCAATGATTATTTGGGTCAATTCCATCACAATCTTTTTTTTAGTCTGTCTTAGGCAATTTCAAACAAACAACAAATTTGATAGAAACAGTTTCTATCACCCCAATCAATTCAGTTCCCAAAGTCAGCGAAGTGACACAGCTGGGCATGCAAGGAAAACGAGACAGCGTTCCATGAAATAGACAGCAAGAAACAGTGCATCCTTTACCTTGGTCGAAGGGCTTGCTGGGATTCCAGTTCCTGAAATAATCATCCTATATAAGGGAAAAAATAGAAAGCAAAGGTCAGATTTCAGGAAGATACTCAGGTAACTATGTTAAAAGCTGCCTTTCTCCGCCCCTCCCAAAACACAAAGGAAAACAATAGGCTGAGAAACCTTTCCCAAACAGACATTAACGGGCAATCAATGCTATCAAGTTACTTTTCCAATTCTTGTCTTTTCAACCGGATGCATGCAATTCTGGGAAGAGCAAAAGCACCTCAGCCTCCTTTGGAAACAGCCACGCTCTCCTCAGTGTGACAGATAAACCGAGAAACCTCCCAAAAGTTCAAGGTGCGTTTGCTATCGATTACCCCACAGGTGCAGCCCGCTGTGTTCCTGAGGGACCCAGCCTCTTTGTAAGAGCCGATAATTCAACTGTCAACATTTCTTTTACGGGGAGACGTGTAACGTGTGTGCAGTCCCAGTTTTGCAGCCCTCACAAAACCTAAAAACAGAGCCCTTCAAATGCCAGGATGAACCACAGGCCTACATGTAGCTTAACACCATTTGTTCTCAGTGTGTTAAGATAATAAAAACAAAGGCCGGCCAATCTGGCTGATTCATAACCAGGTCTTCCTTGCATGCCGCTGGTATCAGTCTGTGCTCCGAGGCTAGACACTCCGTTACTTTAACATTGCAAGGGTCTGGGTCACTCCCTTCTTCATATTTACACATAACCTATTCCCCACATCTACTAACCCTTTCCTTCCAAACCACCGCTGTCTACTCTCTCTCTCTCTCTCTCCACTCCCAGTGCCCGCACCCAGGTGTCAGCAAAGTGAAGAAGGTCGGAAGATGCAGAGGCTTCCCCCTTGTGTATCATCCTCACACAATTTTCAGTGAATTTCCTCCTGACTGTACCCAAAGTATTGGCCGTGTGTGTTTTTGGAAGGCACTCTGAATGCTGCAGACATTTTTCAGCAAGTGGTGCAGAACGAGACCTCCATTTCTCTTCCAGAGAAGTTAATTCACATCAAAGTGCACAATTAGTTTAAATTATTGTCCGTGCGGCCTCCTGCTGCAGTTTATCTCTGACACCATCTCCTGCGAATTGTCCTGGCCTCTGTGCTGTGCAATTACCTGGCCTTATTAGATCCTAGTTGAGTTCACCTAAGCCCTTAAATAGATTTTAGGAAACTGGATTTAAAGTAAAACCAGAACATACCGCTTCATGGGCAGTGATTCCATTTTCCAGGGCATGAATAAACATGAGCAGGGTCCTCTGGATCCTGGCGACTCACCATTAAATTATTTTTAACTCCCAGGAACCGGTCCCTTTTCCTCTGATGGTACTTTGTGGCATCCCTGGCCACCTCACCCATCTGGTTACGGAGTCTCTCCGGCTGCCCCCGACACGTCACCGAGAAAGCTGCCAACAGCCCCCCTGCCATCTCTCTCCACCGGTGATGCTGAATCTTTGGAACCGTGTGGTTTGAAAGGCAGCGGCCGGTGTTAACTGATTCTAAGGTGAGGGCTGGCTGGTAAGTGGAAAATGTAGCACCTCATTTCTCCGTGTGACGGCCAGCGTGCTCTGAGCCCCAGCACACACATCGTGCCAACACGTTCTGCTGCTCACGGGGCGGAGGAGAGACAGCCAAGATGAACTCAGCTTCACACGGAAGACAAAAATAGCAAAACGTCCATCTCTCCGACTGCGCTCCATCAATGCCCCTTCACACCCAGAGGCCGGCATCCAATGGCCATGTGGACTCTCTGAATGCTTCCTCCTAGATTACGCTGTCCTAATACACGGAAGACCTTGGAAACTCAGGGCGTGTGTCTGACATGTCACATTCTCTCTGATGTCCCAGGAAGGTCTGAGAAAGTCTCAAAAACTGAATATTCCCTACTGATTTCAACGCGCTTTGTACCTTGGGTGGACTGCGAAGCACGCCTCAGGACCTTGTCACTTTCCCAGGTTAACCGTAATTGCCATTTTTACACACTTCTTGGGGAAAGTCATAGTTTTAAACATAAAGGCTGTAAAAGCAGGTGTCTGCATTAGAGCATTTGAAACCCATTGAAATGTAATAACCCTGCCTAATTGCTGCCAAAATGTGAAAGTGCACCTTGAGTGAAAGCTCATTATGCAAAGTGAGTCCTTCAAACAGCCCCTGCTCCGAAAGGCCAAGGCCACGCAGGGAGGGAACGTGATGCCCTGCCTCTGATTGCTTTTGCGCTGCCTTCGGAAGGCGGATTGCCAAAGGAAAACCAATGAGCCCGGGGCTGGTGGAACCCTGGGGGTAACTGCCTCGGCTGCAGCAGAGAGACTCCATGCGGGGGTCACGGGAATGGACACTTGGGAAGCACTCTGGGTACTGAGCCCACTTGGAGTGTGGTCAGTGAGCAAAGAGAAGGGGCTTCTTGGTGGGCATTCTGCAGCAGGTCGGAGTATGAGAAGACTGGACGCACGGAGCACCCTTCCACGCTGCACTAGCAGGTCTGGCAAGCCTGCACACAGGGCAAGACCAAGCAGGCCGGGGCGATATCCAACCATTCACTCTACATGGGGGTATTTCTGGGGAGGCAGCTTCCAAGCCCATGTGGAAAAGGCCAAGGATAAAAGAATTTCTCTTCCAGGGCTTCGCCTCCTGAGAATGTATTCATCCCTGAGTCCAACTTAGCGATCAGGTGCTCAAAGGACTCCAGGACAGCTGCCTGAGTCTGCCCTGCCAGGGCTGGCAGTTTCCCCAAGGCCTAACTCCCAGAGGCACCACCCAGCCTTTTTCTCATTTCCTATCTAAATAAAAATATGTAGTTTATATTTTACATTTTCCTAAAACAGAGCCATGACTACCCACCCTGTTGAAAGTTCTACCAGTTTTCTGACAATTCCCACCCGGGGAAGGAGCATGCCTGCCTGTACACCGTCTCAATGCTGTACTGTATCACCACGTGTTCCTGCTATATGAACCCCAAAGTCCACTCGGATCCTAAGAAAGTGCAGGGCTGAAGGGGCCCTGGCATCAGATCCCCCTTCCAGCCCAATAATGCTGTGGCCTGTAAAAATGCAGAGGAGCTAAAAAGCGTGTCAGATGTGTTACGGTAGATCAAACTCGCCAGGAAATGTGTTCCTGTCTGAGTTGACCTCTTAACTGGTGATTTTATCATCTGGGGATAAAGCTTTTAAAAATGACTTGCAAGAACCTCAGCAACAGTTCATTTATAAAACATGAGCCTAAATTGAAAGATGCAAATCTACGTACAGTAATTTCTTCAATTCAATTACTCCTATTAGCGAAGGCCGGCAGGACTGAGGGCTGGCAGTGCAGCTGCCCCTGGGCATCCTGGGGGCCTCCCCGTACAGTCCCCAGGTCAGGCCTCTCCTGAAAGGGCAGAGAGCAGTCTCCCACCAAGTCCAACCCATACGAGGAAAGGCTGATCCCACGTCATGGTGCCACTGCTTCGATGGAAATTACCACCTCTTAAAATCTGGGAGAACCTATACACATAAGCTGTCTCAAACTTGAGCATAGTGGCTTATGTCTGACATTATTATCTCAGGCAACATAAAGTCGCAGTAAGAAAACATAAAAGGTCGGCATGAAAGCCCTGGCCAGGTAGCTCAGTTAGTTGGAACATTGTCCAGGCACTCCAAGGTTTTGGGTTCAATCCCTTGACAGAGCGCATACAAAAATCAACCAATGAATACATAAATGAATGGAGCAATAAATTTCTCTCTCTCATCAATCAATATATGTTTTAAAATAAAGTCACAGTAAGAAAGTGACAAATCATTCCATGTCTAGATGAGGCAAAAGGAGGTGGTTCTGATGGTGGAAAAATGGCAGACTGGGAATGATCCAGGCCCCAATTTTTCTGTTAATCTTTCACAGCAGATCAATATAGATAAAGCCTTATTTCTCCATTTATTTTGCTAAATAAATATATTTCTGACATAGTACTGAACCCTGTGAAATTGTTGGCATCCAGTAACTCTGGGTTTTCAACTACTTTAAAGATAATTCATTTTGATAAACATTCATGGGAAAGAAATCTGTTTAAAATATATGCATATGTAACACATTACGTATTACTATTAATAAGAATGTTTATCAACACATAGTTTAATAGATGTATGTAACTAACTATTCACATATGCTGAAGAACATTCTATTCTATAAAGCCTTTTGCAATAAAACCTTAAGACTCCCTAATACCAAAGAGGCAAAAACATTCTTGCTATAATTTGGGTGATTAGTCCCTTTATCATAGATTAGGAGCCCGTTGCAGGAAGATTCCTACAAGCAGCTGCCTCGGCCAACCATCCCGCCCCACCCAGCCTTGCCCGCCCACACTTTCCCTCTGGCAGCTGCCTTGCTTTCTACTTTCCCTCCCTCTTCCTTCTATGCTGTCTTCCCCAGCATATGCAAATTAACTGCCATCTTTGTTGGGTTAATTTGCATACTCCCTCTGATTGGCTATGGGTGTAGCAAAGGTATGGTCAATTAGCATTTTTCTCTTTTATTAGTGTATATGCTCATGCCCAATGGGAAGTCTATGGTTCCAGTCCATTTTGAAAGGGAGCCTGGATTTCTCTCCCAAATGGCTGATGCCATTCAGTTCGAACATTCCCCAGGGCCTTGCCTTTTGAGGGGTGCTTATCACAGCTTAGAGATTGTCAAAGCCGCCTCTGGGGAACAGATGGGGTGGCAGAACCCAACGGAAGCCATTTTTGAAGTCCAGCTGCTTTATTCTTGCTTCTTCTGAAGGTGATGCAATATATCATCTACCTTACACCTTCAGATACCACCAGTCAAAGATGCTTAGCTCACAGGAAACATTATTTCTCCTTCATAAATATTTTAGCTAAGTTTTTGGAACCTTGCAGTTTCATCTGAATATTACCTGAGATAATACAAAATAGCAGCCTAGAAAATAAATGGGAACCTCATTTGTCTTGATCAGGAGTGAGTGACAAGCACAAGGCAAGTCCTGGCTGAACTGTATAAAATATAAGTAAGCTGTGCCGGCTTTAGCATCTCTGTATCC